ATCGAAGGGTGAGATTGAGTCGGGAGGAATTTGAATTGGAGAGATCGAGGCGATCAGCGAGGAGAATCGGTAGGGATGGTTCGTTTAAGAGAATCGGGTTGCTTGAGGGGTATGTAAATATGTAGTTTGTGAGCGAGGCCTGATGGATGGGTTCAGTCGTTGGGGGAAGATGAAGGGGAATGAATTCTCAGAATTCGTGCAAGTGTGAGTGGATCTTTTTATTGTAGTCACACTCATTCAAGATAAGTTTGACCCGATCGAGTCTGAGGAAGTTCTGGGTGGGGTGCCGATAGTGATAAGGGTCAGTGGGTCCAGTCAGTACTCTGTATATAGTCTCCGTCAAACGAGGAGAGTTATACATACATACAATTAACTACCAACGAAGGATGATGAGGTGCTCACTTGGAAGAGGATCTATGCTGATGTTGGTTAGCTCAGGAGGTCCGTTGGATTCTTGAGATCGAGTTCATGGTTGCCAGGGAATATTGCAGGTTTCTATTCTGAGAACAGTCTGTCTGCTTTATGTTATTCTTCCAGGACGAAGCTGGCCGGCAGGGTGGGCCAAAGTCCAGCATGAGATTTGAAATGTGATGTTTAGAAAGAAGTGAAGGATCAGAAGACTTCCACTCATTTCCACTCCTGGGCTCTGGCAGCTGTATGTATATGTATGTAGGCCACCCACTACAAATCTGGCTGCATTGGGATCAATGTTGTTCAATACAGTCTTGCATTGGTTTCAAGTATCCCAGCAAACTTGCAGGCGGTCAAAGAAATTTTATGGATTGGGGATGCTCAAATCCCTTGGTATGTAGGCAACTTTTTTTTTGGTAAGAGATACATTCAAAACCAACAGATGGGAGGAGAGTGTACATAAATACAAAGTCAGGCGCCTTTTTCCTAGTCACTACAGCAAAAGGGGAGGAGGTTTGTCAACAGGATACAAATCTGTGAGGGTGGCCCATCTCACCAAACTCAGGCTCATGTGCTGGAGTGGTTTTAATGAGCCTGAGTTCCAGCTGAACAACCAATTCTGATGTTAAGGTGGGTTAGTGATGTATGATTGGTTATTGGTGATGCTTGATCTTGCTTCTATTAAAGGGGGAGTTGGTTGTCTGAAAGGGTATGCACCAAACAGGGTTTGAATGCAGTACAAAGATTGGCTCAACTTTGAGCAAAGCACCTGACATGTCCCCATAAAACCCCTATAAAGCATATGTCCAGCCCGCGCGAGAAAGGTCCCGCGAGGGTGGACTGCCGCAAAAAGTAGAACTTCGCAAACTTCGCCAATTCGCTCCTCTTCTATCCCCCTTCCCCCCTCCACACTCGACCAAGTCCTCCGATTCAGCCAAGTCCCACCTCAGCTCGCTCCCCCCCCCCTGTCACCCTTGAACCGAGACGACCCTTAAAAGCGAAGACCCTTACACATAAGCGAAGACCCTTACACATATATAACACGTATAACACTCATCCCGTAACTACCCTTATATTTGCCTCTATCCAACTCAGCGACTTAACCGTATCATCTCTCACATACATACTTATCACTTTCTCCATCATTCATTCCATCTGTTGTTTTCATAATCTTTTTTTGTCGGCACCTCTCAAAAACCATGAGCGGACTTGATTTATCACTTCGATGAATCTTCTGTGTACTCAAGAGATCAAAATCTCAACAACATGCTCGGAGATGTACATGTTTTTGCCAAAATTTGAAATGATTTTTTTCAACACACACAAGCAGAAGATCACAAAAACATTGCATCATTCATTGCTGGTTCTCAAAAAAACAGAAGCTGAGGGGACTGCGGTGTAGTAACAGGTGGCAGTATATGATAGAAAAGATGTTGTAGGTATGATTTATTGTGGACTCGCATTGTAGAAGTGTAGACTTGAAGTATGCGAACACAAATATAAAGAGATGAGAAGAAAATATTTAACTACCTAACATCGATGGTTGTTTGTTGTATGATGTGTATGTGTACGTGTATATTGATGTGATATAGATTTCGATTACAAAAGCAGTGAGACAGAGAAAATATATGGAAGCGCGTCCAGCGAATTAAGCAAGCGTCTCCAGCAGAGGGTCAATGGAAGATTGAATTTGAGAGTCTCCGACCAAACCAGTACCCCCTTCTTGAGCACCTGAGATGCCTGCTAAGCTACTTCTGGGGTCGAGGGTGTCGCTGTTTTGAGTTGTAAGGGTGTTGCTGTTTTGAGTTGTAACAGTGTCGCTGATTTGATTGGTACTTGCGGCACTTGTACGCTTTTGCTTCGAGCTGGTCGATTTCTTATTGACGGCAGATTTGCTTTTGGTGACGGGCTTCTTCTTAGAGGTGACGGACTTCTTCTTGGAACTGCCGGACTTCTTCTTGGAGCTGCCGGACTTCTTCTTGGATGATCCAGTCTTGCTGTTTTTTTGGGCACGCTTCTTAGGAGGTGGATTATCGACTTCGACGCTACTTTTGGTGCTGTCTGACTCGTCCTCTGTGGTATCGGTTTCATCATCTGAATCGGATTCTGTTTCGGTCGAATCAGTAGTTTCATCTTCAGAGTCTTCATTCCCATGGTAGGTGATGAGAATTCGTTTGGTGTTTAAACAAGCAAGTATGCCTTTGGCCGGACCCTCGTGCAATCTGGAAAGCGGTTGAAATAAGTCCTTGGGCACAATATTCCAGTCGTTATTCTTGACATGGAGTTTGAGCTTCAACTCCTTTAACTTGTTTACGGAATCCGTCGCTGGCCAGGCGCAACATAGCTCGTTGCCACTTGCCGATTCTAACCAACAATGTAGAACACCTGGCCATTATTGACTGATCACATGTTGAGAAAGATCTGAGAAGGCGTGCACTTACGTATCATTTCCTTTAGCTTTTCCCGAATGGCATGAACATTTTTAGCGACCGTGCCTACATGTAAATACAAACACATTCAGCTCAATGGACAGCCTTCAACAGACAAATGACTTACCCATATCAAATTCATTGGCTACATTTGTTTTATCGTTTGTGGAAGTGATCGCCTTTCGTTTCATGGATTTCGATGGATCTACTCGGATGCCGTTAATGATTTGGATAGCTTTTGCAGCAACCCAGGTATGAAAATGCCCCGCAGTGTCCTTCTCTTCCTTATCGGCCATCATTTCAAGAAAGTTGTAGCCTAGGGCCGATCCACCTTTCTCAAAGATTGTACTTTTTGGGTGGCGGGAAGCTACAACAAAAAAGCCTTCAACTTGATGGAAGAAGGCCATGGATTTCAACTGGGTCAAAAGTTTGGGTCAGCTATTTATGAGTGAGAGTCAGCATTGGCATATAGGCTCACATCGGCTTCTGTTTTACGGACCCAGTTGCTAACCATAGTCATCGTTTTCTTCTGAGAGACATGTGAGGAGGAAACCATCGTTTTTGATCGCAATCGACTCCCATTTGTTGAGTAAACGTTATCTTGTGCAGCAGCAATGGCATCAGCATTTTCTTCGGTCAAACTGATGAGAAAATCGATGTCTTTATATAACTTTTTCGTTGCATCGTCTTTCGTTTTCCATAGCTCCGCTACCTTATCTCCGCCAACATCCTTTCCAACTGGCAAAACAAAAAGTTGGACCCAAATGTGAGCTTAGTATAGTAAAATCTAGCAAGGACCGGAGGACATTCAAGCAAAGGGAAACTAACATTCATCAAAGAGTGCCAGCGCCTCGGGATCGTACTGCTGAAAGTTATTCCATGTGGAGCCGCCCTTCACCTTTTTTGACTGCCCAAGATGAGCAAAGCAGAGGTGCGGCCCGACTTGATGCTTGATTGAAAGCTTGTGGAGCTCTCTCTGGAATTCGTAATATAGGTCGTCCAGTTCACTCTTCATCTCTGCAGTCATTCTGCTACGTGGGGGTTTGTCAGATGCAATTTGACGGAGGATCGAGAGATTCATGTCCTTAAATCGCATCATTTCGTCCTCAGTCAATGAACGAACGACCTCCTTACCGCTGTCCATCGACCCAGACATTATCCCCGCTAAATTGATGTCGTTGTCAAGGGAGGGATGGCTGGATTTTGCGGATTGACCAGGCTGGTGGGACTGAGCTTGCGATGTAGCTGAAGAATCAAGTTGGGAACGTGGGGCCCGGTTGGAGATTGTGGTATGATGAACTGAAGCTGAACTGGGGTTGGCTGATTGACCAGGCTGGTGGGACTGAGCTTGCGATGTAGCTGAAGAATCAAGTTGGGAATGTGGGGCCCGGTTGGAGATTGTGGTCTGATGAACTGAAGCTGAACTGGGGTCGGCTGATTGACTGGGCTGATGGGAGCGAGCTTGCAAGGGAGCCAAGGTATTGGTTTGGGGAGGTGGCACCCGGTTGGCAATTGTGGCTTGATGGACCAAGACTGATTGAGGTTGGGATACAGACAAACGGTAGTTTCGAGGGGGCGGAACACAATCTTCTTGCTGGTGCGTGGTTGATGCAGAATTTGGCAGACGTGTTTGGTTATTCAACCCGGATGGATGCACATTGGTGTGCGGATGGAGGACTGTTCGAACTTGAATGGGGCTGGAGTTTGGCTGTGACTGTCCGGTTGTATTGCCACAAGGATGTTGGAATCTGGGGGTCGAGTGCAGTGGACTGGGCAGATGAGGGAGAGTATCTCGAGGTATTTGATTATTATGGGAACCTGGAGCTTGTGCTCTAGAATGAGATGTTGCCTGGGTGGTTAGCATGGGCTGGCCGTTGAGCAAGTGGCGATCCGTGGTCGCTTGGCCTTGCAGTTGAACGTTGAGCAAGTGGCGATCCGTGGTCGCTTGGCCTTGCAGTTGAATCTGGGATATGTTGGGGCCACTAATTATACGTCGGCCCTGCAAGGCAGGGGGCGAATTCTGGGTGATGTGTTGGTGGGTGTAAGACGTCTTTGGATTTTGAATGGAGTTCTGGTATGAATTGAGGCCATCGGGCGTATGATATTGCTGGTTATGCGGGGTTGAAGTGGCTCCACGGTAGTTTTGCCCTTGATTGTATGAGGTATGAGCGCTGCGGTGATTCGGCTCTTGGTTGTATGATATATCACTTCCTGAGGTTAAGGGCAAAGAAAGTTGTTGGTTGCTGGTTTGATGTCCATAGGTATTGGTATTGCCTTCACAGTAAGTCCGCCCGCCCGCAAAACTTGTGTTGATACCGAAGACGGGCTGGCCAGTCATCTCGAATGATTTAAATTCTGTGATTGATTGATTGATTGAGTTGATTTGTGGTGGAGATAAGATGAATGTTGAAAGGGGATGGATACGATGAAGGGGACAATGATAGCAGGAGGAAGGTTTGTGGAGCCGGCAGTCACTAGGGAAGAAGTGGAGGAAAAAGTAACATCAAAAAGGGTTCGCGTAGAGGATTCCACACTGTCCTATTGAATATGCATTAGGGCATGCCTCAGACCTTACTCTGTTGCAAATTGGGGTGCAAATATATGATACATATAATAAAGAAAACACAAATCAAACTCAAAATCAACTTATAAAAACAAATTCAGCACTTTGAAAATATTTAACATGATTGGAACCACATCAGGTAAAAGTAAGAAGGATATTTGCATTCCTTCATTGAATACAAATCTGCAGATATGACTATGGCATATGGAATAAGGGTATTTTTGGCATGGCAGTGATGGCTTAAAATGTTGATGTTGTTTTTTTCATGAAGAAACTGAGATAAAAATTGGGTAATTCAAGGTGGATCCTGAATTTTTCATGTGGAAAATGTGGTGAAAATGTGCTGAAGGTGGGTTAGTAGGAGAGACACATGCCAGTTAAGGCAGGTGCTATGAAAGAATTTCATGTGTTCTGAAGAAAAATATTGGTTAAGTGTAAGTTGAAAGGTGTTGGAATATATTCTGAAATAAAATTCTAGACTTTCAAGTTCATTCAGAAGTTATTGATGGTCAAAGTGCTACCAAAGCTAGTTAGTAGGAATTGGCAATGCCAGTATAGGAGAGCTCTGGGTGAGCTTCTCAGGCTTTCCAAGCAGAAGTGGGCTCTAAAAAACTTGAAATTTTGAATATTTTGATTCCTAAATAAAATGTTAATTGAAAGTGGACCAGAAGTTATTTCTGTCAAAAGTGTGGCCTGTTGTACCAGGAACAATGATGTGATGCCTACTTGACTGGGACATACCCAACCAAATTTGTTGATTCCAAGTGCGGC